CCCCTGTCACACTCAAGGCAGGGTCGATGGGGAGGTTGTGGCGCCACCCCCTGTCACGCACAGAGCAGGGCCCATCAGGGGGTTGGGGCGCTGCCCCCTGTCATGCACAGAGCAGGGCCAATCAGGGGTTGGGGCGCTGCCCCCTGTCACTCACAGAGCAGGGCCCATCATGGGGGTTGGGGCTCCGCACCCTGTCAAACACAGAGCTGCAGGGCGATCAGGGGATTGGGGAGCTCCCCCCTATCAGGCACAGAGCAGGGCTGATCAGGGGGTTGGGGCACCTTCTCCTGTCATGAACAGAGCAGGGCGGATAGGGAGGTTGTGGCCCCGCCCCCTGTCACACACAGCCACAGGGCGATCAGGGGGTTTGGGCGCTGTCCCCTGTCATGCTGATCCCGGTGCCAGGAGGCCTCGTGGCTCCGCTGATCCCGGTGCCGGGAGGCATATTACCCTTTTACTATATAGAATAGAGGCCTGGTGCATGGGTGGGGGCCGGCTGGTTTGCCCTGAAGGGTGTCCTGGATCAGGGTGGGGTCCCCACTGGGGTGCCTGGCCAGTCTGGGTGAGGGGCTGAGGGCCGTTTTCAGGCTGGTGGGTGACTGAAGCTCCCAACTGCTCCTTTTTTTCTTTTTTCTTTTTCTATTCTGGGCCAGCTTTAGCTCTGAGGCCTCGCTGCTGAAAACATTGATACAATGTTGTGGTCAGGCTGGCTGAAGCCCGGCTGACTGAAAGCCGGTTTCTGGGGTTTTGTTTAGCTTCTATATTTGAAACATAGTTGCTTAGAGTTGCAGCTGAGAGGCCGGCCAGTCAGGTGGGGAACGTTGGAGTCCCGTCACTGGAGCAAGCAAGCCTCCCTGTTCGCTTCAGTGCATGGCTGCCGGCCGCCATCTTGGCTGACAGTTAATTTGCATAAGGATATGCTGATTAGCCAATGGGAAGGGTAGTGGTCGTACGCTAATTACCATGTTTCTCTTTTATTAGTGTAGATGTGCTTGTTTGGCTTATAAGGGGGAAATGGGGCCATGTCCCAGACTGGCCAGATAACTGCTGACCAGGCCCCAGTCTCACACACAGTCCTGATTGCTGTCCACCTGGGCCTCGATTCAGTCATTCACAACATGAGACTAACAATTACCACTCCTTTCTTTGCAATAATGCTTCGAGAATAATCGAAACACCAAACAGAACACATTCTAAGCATCCTCGAAGGAGGAAAGGTTAAGGAATTATTAACCCATGAAAACAAAACTAAGAAATACTGATGCCTGCTCTCCTACCTGCAGGAGGGCTTAGCCGTTTCTGAACTTCCCGGAGCACATCGAAGAGAAAGCAGTGCCCCCCGCAGGCTGCAGGGACCAAAGCTCCTCCTTTAGGACAACGTGCTCTGCGCCCACTGACTGGAGCACAGGAGACTGTGTGGGGTGCAAGGCAGGGACCAGAGAGGTGCCGGGTCACAGGGAGAGAGCCCACCGAGTTATGCCCAGGCCTGAGCGCAGGCATCTGCCGGGGCCTCAGGGAGGGAGAGGACTGGGGAAAGCCGTATGCTCTTTCTGAGCACGTTTCGGAGCAAAGCCAAAAACACGAGACAAGACAAGAAATTCTAAAATCAACAACGACTTGGCTTCTTCTATGTCCCCGGCTATAGTGCTGTGACATTCAGGGGGCGATGCCACTGAGATGGGAAGTTTCTTGTTCAGGGACTATGAAACTTTCCTTAACTGAACTTAGCTCCAGTGCCGTGGAAATGCGTCCGGAAACACACCCACACCCACATGCACGCACATACACGTTCATAGTCACACACACGTGCACATTCATACACACACACATTCTCATACAAAGTGCACATAAATGTGCACATGCACACATGTTCACACATACACGCACATTCACACACTCACACACATGCATGTACACATCCACACGTATGCATGGGTGTGCACTCACACATGTGCACACAATGCATCCTCACACAATGTGCACGCACGTGCACATCCACACACATGCACATTCTCACACATGCACACACATGAGCACACCACACATGTACACACATGCACAACACACATTCTCTCACACATGTACACATGTGTGCATATTCTCCCACACACATGTGCACACTCTCTCACATACACACACACTCTCACACACATGCGCACACACATGTGCACATCACACACACTTTCCCTGCTGCAAACCTTAGTCCACCTTAGACATGAGCAGGAGTGCAGTAGAAAACGGGGTTACATCTACCCTCTCAGTGTTCTCAGCGAGACCCTCCTGGCCACACAGGGAGCTGTGAGTGTAAATAATTCCTTGGCACTAAATTAGGTTTTAAATTATTAGAAGAGGCCACACAGGGAAAGAAACCTGAGACAGCCCACCATTCAGCTCTCCAAGCAACATAAGATGGAGGAGACCGCTGTAATCCCACCTGGTACAATTTAAGTTACTCTTGGTCATTGAAAATCATATCAAACCACAATTTCATGACAAAAAGATAAACTGCCACACGGAGGCTCCGTGAAGCCTGAGGTCCCTGCCACTGAAATCGCCTAGAGAAACTGCCGATCCCCGCCCAGTGCTCTTACTGAAGAGACTGGTTGCCTTTTGCACCAGACCCACGCCTCCTGGTACCCAGAAGGATGTTCCTTCTCATCAGACTCCGTCCTCACTACCCACGGGGTAAATGACCTCATTCCAGCACAGGCTGCCCCTGTCCACCGGGTCAGAGCTGAAGCACCAGGGGCCGGGACTGAAAGGCAATGGGAAGAGGAGGGAGGGGAGAGGGCTGGGTGGGAAGGAGCGAGGGAGGAGGGCAGGCAGAACCCGGGAGAACACGTTCTCCGTCCACGAGCTACAGGTTCAGGTTCGGAGAGGCTGCTGACCTTCCTCTCAGCGCGCGAGCTGCTCTCCTGGGCCACTTGGCTTCCACGCGGCTGCCCGTTTCTCTTCAGGATAAAAGGGGGATTGCTGAGCTGCTAGCACAGCTCGCCACATGCCTTCACCCCGTACCTTCACATGCGCTTGCAAGTTGCAAAAGAACGTGCAACCAGCATGAAGTATGACAGGACTTTCTAAACCCAGCGCAATCCAAATGCGGAAAAAATGACTAGTTCTATGGAAGAGGTGCACGCGGCCAGGCAGTTTTATCCGCATCACTGCACTGGGTTCCCTGTCCAACGCCCCAAGGTAATCGCAGGAGGACGTACACACCATGCACTTTCCGAGGGGGCAGGCGCGTCTGTGCCGTGGACCATACAGAAGCATCACACGCGGCCGAGTTGGGAACAGGTTGCTGATTGCCCCACATCAGAAAACAGGTGTGGTTCCTCGGAGCAAACTGCGACTGGGTGTGCACGGAATTCCAGACCCAAAGAGGCCCAGACCCCTGTGACGGCACACTGTGGGTTAGCTTATTGCTTAGTGCACTGTGTGCAAGGGCCATAGTCGCTTGCATGTAGCAAAAGCCTTTTCTGCACACTAGGCTGTGAACTAAATGTTTACTTTCAAACATTTAGTCTGAAAAACAGAAGTGATGCTTTCTACCCGCCCACCAGTGTGGCCCTACTGGTCCCTGGTCCCGGCCCCCAGAGCCACGGAGCCCCTGAGCCCATCTCCACAGCAGGTCAGGGCTTGCAGCTCGTCTCTGCTCTGTGGACCTGGCCTCAGGGGCACTGCCCAGCAGGGACGCACCAGGACCCCAGCCCCACCAGCACGCCCTGCCCCACATGCTGGCCGTCCCACCCCAATCCCTGCCCTGGAACCCCGGGCGAATGGACACACCCCGATGACTGTGTGGGGTTCCAGAACACTTACGTGTGCCCACGGGAGCATACAGTCAAGGCTCTTACCCCACGTGCCCCAGGTTGCTCTGGAGACTAGACACAGAGCCCACCCGTGACTCCGCCAGGGGCCTGGGAACCAGCTGCCATGCACAGCCCAGGACACTGTCAGCGAACACTGAGCAGCCGGGAGGCACGCAGATGGCATGAACGGCAACCAGGAGGGTCAGAACACTCCACTTCTGGGTCCAACTGGATTACGTTGCTTCACTTAGGTTCTCTGTGAAGCAGACAAACGCCCAGCCTTTTACCTCGTGGCTTTCATCACAGTGGCCCCATCGCCTTGTGCAGAGGCGCCGACTCCCTGCACCACAAACTGCACCTGCTTCTGACCAAAAGGTGTGAGAGGAGGCGAACAAACAGTCCTTCATCGAAGCAGCACTAAGTCAGATGGCGAGAGAACATGTGCAGGAGAAGTAACCTACGTGACGGCAGCAGAACTCGAAATCTGCACAGCAGACCCGGCCTGGGGACCAGCACACAGCAACCTGTGGTAAGCATCTGCCCAGTAAACACGCAGGCACCCACCGCTGCCAGCGCTCCCTGACCGCGTGCGGGTGTGACAGCTCCACGAGGCTCATCCCGCCCCGTGAGGAGTCTCCCTCCAGAGGCTCCGGGTCCGAGCCCTGCCATCCTTCAGCCCACGTGTGAGAACAATCCCTGCTTTATACATTTCCTGCTTCATGACCAAGTTTCTTTATTTAAAATATAAACTAAAAGTACATGATTATCCACTGCCTTGCTGTGAATGACATTAAGCTATCGGTTAAAGTAAAATCTCCCACCAGAAGGAAGGTTTTCTGCTACTAAGAGAGTAATCCGCGTTCACATGAGCCATCCCAGAACAAGCGTGTTGGGGTGATGGCACCTTGGGGCAGTGCACAGCCCACACAGACACCCCAGAATGGGCACCGCACTCGGAAATTCGTGGCCCCTGGCAGTCACCCCCACAGCTGATGACCATGTTTCACATGAGACCCCACAGGCACCTTTAAGTGGTTCTCCATTTGGCACCAGATCGCTTCTGTATGAATCTGGCCGCTGCATATTTTCATTTCTTTGAAACAAAGAGTAAGGAAACTATTTTAATTGTTCTTAGAAGAATGTGAGAAAACCTACTTTTCACATAACTTAACTTTAACATGTTTAGCTGAGAATACATGAATCCGATGAAATGCCATCGTTAAGTGCTTTTAACAAAGAATTAAATACTTACGCCATGATACCTGAGAGGTGAAACATTTCGGCTGTGATATAGGACAAATAACTGTACAGGAAGACAAAGAGTGGCTCGATCACCCGTATGTTATGTGTGAACCGCGTGGTGAATGCCGCTATAAATCCCAGGAAGATGCCGATCAACATGCCGCCGATGCCCACAACAAAGAAGTTGGCAATCCCGGCAAACACGTCAACAGTCTCAATGGTCTTCATCTGGCAGAAGGACTTGAACAGGTTGTACAGGACCTGTGCGGAGGGAGCGCATGGTCATGGTCAGCTCTTCCAGCCACACTCCCCCTTACCTCCCTTCCCCTCCCCCCCCGCCACCACATGCGCCTGCCTCTCAGAGGATGTGCCTTCTGGCACCCAAGCGGTGGCCGTGGCAGTTCCTACGCATTTGTTTATTTAAATCATATTCCCCTCTCTTGGCACCAAAGGCTTTGATAACAGCATGTTGTCAG